AACCCCAGACTCACAGTATGCCCAGCTCCGGATCGGTCAAGGACAAAACATACATTTTACATAAGTTAAAAAGACAGTAGACAACTATACCATGCGCCCACATCCTCGACTGATAACGGGCCGCACTACAACCAGTGGGGGAGGGTCCCAGCTCAAAAGTGGCCAAAATGACGTCCGCTGACATGCTTGCAATACCACCCCGGGCCGATGGGGGTGGACCCAGAAGTAGAATTAGCCAATGCTAACATATAGCATTGGCAGACCTCTCAAAAACGTCTTTACAGGATGGACCAAAAGTTGGCTCTTGGCCCAAAGCTCCGTTCCACATGTGTGTCAATGCTGAGGGGGGTGGATTTATTTGGTCCACTCTAGTTTACTTGCTGTGAATTTTTGAAGTCTCTCGTTCAAATGAATGGAGCTGCGCCGGCTGACGCATGCGCAGATGCGTTTTTTCTAGGGCTGTCAAACGATTAATTTTTTTAGTTGATTAATCGCATAGTAATGATGAGTTAACTCACGATTAATCGCATTTTTAACATTCTATTTCAAATCCACTCCAATTGAAGTTAAATGAGATTTTCAAATGTAATAAAACATTGTTATTCATACCAAATATACTTAAATCTGTTTGACTTGCTCACAACCTTCTACTTTTGGGTACAACCAACAAGAGCTGTTAATGAAAGGGAAAATGTAGGTACCCCAGCTTTAATTTTGCGAGTTTGGTTGCATTTCAGCGTGTCTCCTCCTCTCCTCCGTGTGTCACACAACATCAGAGAATGGCCCCCGTGCGTGTATATATGTGTATTATATGACCACGTTACCGCTGTCACCATCACAAACACGCACGTGTCCGCGGCATTCTGAGTGATATTATTATAGATGGGCGGGTCATTCGTCTACTTTCATCAGCAAAAATAATTTTGTTTCTAGCTTGTTTTGTTCCCCTGTAATCCCCAGTCGAGTAGAGGGAAGTTTCATCGAAATCACCAGAAAGCTGAGAAAAAAGAGGCACATGTGTTTTCAAACCATTCATAGAACAATGCTGCCATCTGCTGGCTCGATAAAATATTGCCTCAAGCCTTACATATTTGATACAATAGACATCTGGGAACGTGCATCCAGATAAAGAAAAGAGAGGTTTAAACAAGGTGCTCCGCTCTGCAAAGAGGACCGTGGGCTGTGAGCTTCCTGTTCTGGAGGTTCTTTATAAATCCAGACTTTTAAACAAAGCTCTTAGGATTGTTAATGACTCTTCTGGCCACCCTGGGAAAGCCATGTTCCAGCTTCTTCCCTCTGGCAGAAGATATCGCTCTCTGAGATGCAGGACATCTCGTTACGCTAACAGTTTTTATCCACAAGCTGTTATCAGTGTGAACAGAGCCCTTTAATGATTTGCACTTGTTTTGAAACTGTTTAAGTTGATCGATTTCACAGTGACATTTGTTTACTGTTTTATTTGTTTTATTTTTGTCTTTTAATGTTGTTTTATGTCTGTATTTGTCTGTGCACACTGGTGACTTTTGCTAATGTATTCCTATGTGGTGTTTTTACTGCAAATGGCAAATAAACTGAATCTGAATCTGTGAAAATAGCGAGAAACGCAATTGACGTGTTAACACGTCAATGGCAGTTAATGCATAAATTATTTTTTAACGCGTGAATTAACGCGATAATTTTGACAGCCCTGGTATTTTCACAATTTTCTTGTGGGCGGGACCACTCGCGGCCATCTTGGATTGCTCCGGCAGAGCACATTTTTTGGCCCATTAGTTAGAACTGCGGAGATAGGCGTGACTCTGTCCATTAATATATACAGTCTATGACTACAACAGATATCAACCAGTGACACAACTATTTAATTGACAGACCTGTTCAATCGTCTATTGAAGCTGTACAGGAGCGCACGCAGTGTGGCCTGCAAGATGTTGACCCTTGCAGTGACAAACATCTCCCTCCACTCCACTCACTTGTCGACCGGGGACGTGCGGTGAGGCACTGACTTCACCCCAATCAGATGAACATATATCATATAAATCAACAGGACCTACACAGTGATGGGCATTTTTCAGTAACGAGTAATCTAACTAATTACTTTGACTGTAACTATAACGGCGTTATCATTTCCTACATCCCGTTACTGCGGGTTACTCAAGACGCACAATGAACTTCTCTTTTTACTTTGTGATAGGACTCGTGCGCGTGTTGTCATGAGAGAAGGGAGGATGAGAAAACCTCTCAGCAATTATTGGCTGATGTAAAACATATTTCCTTTACAATCTACATGTCTACAGTTGAGAGGATGGCTCATAAATTGTGTTTTTGAAACAAATATTGGTCTTAATCGCGCTCAACCACGGCTTGTATCACCGTGAGGTCAGCCACAGAGGAGCGCATGTGAGCGCAGAAGTCGGCTACATACAATTCCATCGATAAGCTCCTTGCTCTTCGTGGTTTATCTGCTAAGGACAGCAACAGGTTTGGCTAACATACATGTAACACATTTTAAGATAATTTAAAATGCACTTAGGGTAATTTTTCAATGACTATAGGAATGATAAGAAAGAGAGACGAAGTGTAAGACGGTTGATTTTAGAAATTGGATGCACCCGGCTTCAGCAAAACAGAGGAGTTTATGGAGTTTTTAAAACTCATTGGACTCATTTCCAAATGGAGGACTACATATCTACGCTCAAACTAGTAGCTGGACTTAAAGGCGCTATACCCGTTTCTGCAATGTTTGAATGTGTAGCACCGCCCCCCAGCTCGCTCACAGGCTTCTCATTTCCCCTACGCTCTCATCCCACGGAGCCACCTAGTTTTATTTGCGATCTGATATGTATGCTAACATTAGCATTAGCACAACTTCTCGTAAGCTGTACAACAATCACCGATGAAATGGTACAAAAGCAATGCACTGCTAACACAATATATAAGTAAAAGAATACCGCTAGTTTCGCGTCCGAATGTATTAATTTAAACATTAGAATATATTCTAATATTTAATTATAATTTATTATACAGCTCCTCACAGCAGCAGCACTCCATTGACTTGAATGCAATTATTCCGATATTTTTTTCTTGATAACAGAACTCTCAAACCAATAATGACCGAAGCCCCAATGCAACCTCTGTTTGTAATTCAGGTGTGTAAAATACTTCCATTACTCCGCAAGAACAAGCTATCTGTGCCTGTCACTACACTGTGCAGTTTCTCTGCACACTTGTCCATGTAGAGAAGCTAGCGGAGCTAGCCACGCTCAATAAACAAATACATATCAATCAATCAACACCATTAAACGTCAATCGGACAATACAGTATACATATACATCCTTAACACACATGCACGGACGATTTCAGAATTTGCTGTCAACGTTTTCATGACAAAAATACTGTTTTAATGTACATAAATAAACTCAAACTGAAACTAATGTGACAAAAAGCGATCGCAAAAAACCCAGAAGTTACCATGAAACAGATAGCTAGCTTAGCTGTTACCTGCCTAGCACGTCCCGGTGAAACCTTTCGGAGCTAACTATTTTATTTGCAGTCATTAAATACATTTCGAATTATAAGGGCTGTCTAATATTTGTTCAAATATATATATATATATATATATATTTTATTTTAGAATTATATTCGAATTTTGAAGTTGAAGCCCTGGTGTTAAGCAGCGCTGTAGAGGCTAGAGGACGCAGGCTGTTCGCTGCTCGTTCTGTGAGCGGAGGAGAAAGAGCGGCCCGCTCAGACTCTACTCAGGACTTTTCACTGCCTGAATTTCATACACAGCTGAATCAATGACCTCAAGTTTTCAATTAAATTATGTATTATGACATAACTTGTATGTAGTAAAAAGCATTTTTATGAACTACATTTTTATGAACCCAAAAAAATTGGGTATAGCTTCTTTAAACACGGAACTGGTCTGAACCAAAGTGGTCTGTGCAGGTCATTTATAAGGTAAGACCCATAACTCATAGTTTTGCGTTTTGTATGAACAAACAATGTGGAAACATATTTTGCTGTAGCCAAACAAATTGTCCACTTGATGTATATGATATATATGTTCATCTGATTGGACTGAAGTCAGTGCTTCACCAGCCTCACCGCTCGTCACCGGTGTTTTCACATTCACAGTGGCGGGTGTTGGTGTTTAGTGCTTACAGCACAGTGAGAGATGAAGAGTGAACAGGACTTCAGCAGCAAAACAGCCTTTTCTAGATGGAAATATTGGCACTATTTCAGACTCACTGAGGTTAAAGGTAAAAATGCGCACGTCGAGTGCACATTATGTTCCAGAACAAAACGAAAAAGTAACGCAATAGTTACTTTTACTGGTAACTAGTTACTTTTATTGTGGAGTAACACTGTTAGTAACTCAGTTACTTTTTGGGAGAAGTAACTAGTAACTATAACCAATTACTTTTTCAAAGTAACGTGCCCAACACTGGACCTACAAAGCGGCTTATTCACAATTTGTTTGGCTACAGCAGAATGTGTTTCATGCTCGCATTGTTTGCTCATACAAAACACAAAAGTTTGTAAAAAGCACATTTCCAAGTGTGTTATGGGCCTTACCTTAGTTATTAATGAACTGCACAGACCACTTCAGTTCAGACCAGTTTTATGTTTAAGTCCAGATAATAGTTTGAGCGTAGATATGTAATCCTCCATTTGGAAATAAGTCCAATGAGTTTTAAAAAGTAAAACAAAATGGGTGCCTCCTCTATAACCTCCTGTGTTTCGCTGCAGCTGAATCTCAGGTGCATCCAATTTCTAATATCAACCTTCTTACCCTTCACCTCTCTTCCTTATCATTGTTATCGTCATTGGAAGCATAACATTACCCTAAATAAATGTTAAATTATCTTAAAATGTTTAATATGTATGTTAGCCATACCTGTTGCTGCCCTTAGCAGATGGAAAAAGAAGCTTTCTGATGAAGCATTCTGATGGAATTGGATGCAGCCGAATTCTGGGCTCAACCACCCCCCCAAACCCAACCCTCCATAACCCCAACCCCCACCAAATATAACACAAACCACCCAACCACCAAACCAAAACCACCCCACCCCCAAAACACACACACAACCCACCCTCCCACACCACCCCCCCCCCCCCCAAACCCCAAAAACCCCCCCCCCCCCCCCCAACCCCCCCCCCCACCCCCCCCACCCCCCCACCCCAACACAACCCCCCCACCAATACACCCCACCCAACCCCCCCCCCAAACCACAACACCCACAATCAATTCCACCACACCAACCTAAAACCAACCCCCACACCCACACAAACCACAAACCACCACACACCCCCCCCCCACCACCCCACCACCCCAACACCAACACCACCCCCACCTCCAAACAACAACACACACCAACCACCACCCCCACAAACCAAACCAAACACCACCAAAACATTAACAAAATAAAAACCCCACCACCCACACCCCCCACCCCCCACCACACACCCCCCCCCCCCCCCCCCACCAACCCCAACCACACCAACCCCAACAACACCCCCACCCCCCACCCCCCCCAACACCCCCACCAACCCACCCCCCCCCCCCCCCCCCCCAATCACCCCCACACCCACCCCCCCCACCAAACCCCACCACACCCACACCCAACCCACCCCAACCAACCAAACCCCTTAACCCCCACAAACCCCCCACCCCCCCCCCACCAACCCACCCCCCCAACACCCCCCACACCCCCACACATACACACCACAACCAAATCCAACAAAACCAACCCCACAAATCCACCCCCCATAACCACAAACACCCACCCCCCCCCACCACAAACAAACCCAACACTCCCCCCCAACACACAACAAACCAACCAAACCCCACACCACCCCCAAACCAACCCACCCCCCCAAAAAAAAAAATATCTTACCAACCACCCCACCCCCCACCCCCCCCCACACAACAATAACCCCCCCACCACCCCCAAAACCACTAACCACTCTAAATCTTTCCCCTACATTCTAAATACACTCAAATAACCCCCCCCACCACCAACCACAACCATACATAACCACCATTAACACCACCCACCCCAAACCCCCACCCCCCCCCCCCACCAAATAAAATAATCTCTCTCACCCCCCAATCAACTCATCCCCAACCTACATATTATTCTACAACAACAACCCCACCCCCCACACCCCACAAAACCCCCCCCCCCCCCCCCAAACACCCAACCACACACCCAAACCCAAACACCCCCCCCCCAAACACCAAACAACAACCACACCACACCCCCACCCCCCTTCCTATATACCAAAAAACTCCACTAAAAAACTCCCCAAAAAAAACATCTACCCACACCCCCTTCCCCCTACTAATTCCCCAAACCCCTAAACACCTAACAAATACTAACACTCCCATCAACCCCCACAAAACAACCCCCAACAACCCAAACCCCCCCCCACCACCTAAACACAAACCCACCCCCAAAACACCACCCCAATACCCAATCCCACACAACACAAACCACCCACCCCCCCAACCACCAACCAAAATACACCCCCCCCCACAACCACCAACCCCCCACAACCCACCATACACACAACCAAAAAACCCCCAACAACCCCACTCACCACCCACAAACCCACAAACCCCACACCCAAAACCCCACCTCAACCCTCATAACACCACCCAACCCAACCCAACATACAAACTACACAAACAAACCCAACCATCTCCCCCCACCCCCCACACACCAAAAATCCACCCCAAAACCCACCCCCACAACACCCACCCAATAAACCCAACACACCTCACACCCACCCCCCCCCACCACCCCACCCCCCCCCAACACCCCCACAACCCACACCACACAAACCCCACCCACTCCCCCACCCTACACACCCCCCCCCCCCACCACCCACCCCCCCCCCAACCACCACCCCACCCCCCCACAAAATAATCAATCTATTCCCCCACCCCCCACCCCTATAATATACCATACTCAAACCACCCTCACCCCCCCAACCCACTCACCCCCCTCACCCCCAAAACAAACAAACCAACCACACCAACACCCCACATCAAAAAACAACACCCATCCAAAACCAAACAATAATATTCCCCATTCTACTCTACTCTCACCCCAACCCTAATACCCCCCCTACCCCCCACACATTCACCCCCCCCAACCCCCCACCCACCTCAACCCCCATAACAATTCCCCCCCCCACTATAAAAACACCCACACCCATCATAAACCCCTTCCCCAAAATCACAACCCAAACACAACACCAAACCCCAACCCAACACCCCACACCTAAACACTCCCACCAAACACCCACTAATACCAAAAAACACCTCCAACCCCCACCCCCCCACCAACCAACAAACCCACCCACAAACCCCCAAAAAATACCCAAAAACCCCCCACCCCCAAACCCACCACACCACCCAACCAAACAAAAAAAAAAACCCCCCAAACCACCCCCCCCCCCATCCCCAACCAACACCCCCCCCCCCCACCCACCCCCAACCCAACCCCCTAAAAAAACTTAACACCAACCAACATCCAACCCCAACCCAACTCCCTACCCCCCCACCACCACCCAACCCTAACCCCCAACACCTAATCCCCAATCCCCCCCAAACCCCCCCCCCCCACACAACAAACACCAAATAACCAAAAAACAACTCAAACCTAATTCTAAAATCCAACCACAAAAAAAAACACACCAATCAAACAACCCACACACAAAAAATCCCCTCTCCCCCCCCCCCCCACACCCCCCCCCCCACACTCCCCCCACCCACAACCCACCCACAAAAACCCCCCCCACCCCCCCACACCCCCCACACACACCCCCCCAACCAACCAACCCCCCCAAAAACCCCCCACCACCACCAACCCCCCACACAACACCCCACCCACCCCAAACACCTTCCCCACCCCACCCCACAACCCCACCCACCCCCCAACCACCCCCACACACCCAACACCACCCAAAACACCCAAACACCCCACCCCCCCACCCCCACCCATCCCCACCACCACCAACATACACCCAACCCAATACCAATACCCAAACCAAAACCCACTTTATTCCCCATTACACACAACCCCCAAACACCCCATAACACCCCCACCCCCCCCAAAAACAAACCCCCCCCCCCCCCACCCACCACACCAACCACATAAATATACATCTCCCACACTTACCTTCACACCCTCATACTCATCACCTCACATACCACACACACCCCACACACACACAACACACCAACACAACCACTCACACACCACACCACTCACACAACACCCCCCCACACAACCCACACTCTCACACACACCCACACACAACCACACTAAACCACTCACTCTCCACAACAACACACACACACCCCACACTCACCCCACACACACCCCACACACACACAACACACCTCACACACCCAACACACCCCACAACAACCCACACACACACCACCACCCACACCACACACACACCACACACACCACACACTCACCCCCACACTCACCAAACAACACTCCAACACACACCCCCCCACACATCCCATCACAACCAACACACCCACAAACCTCTCAAAACCCCTCACTCTCATCCCCTCCTCTATTCCCATCTCACATCCACATCAACAAACAAAAACACCCAACCACATCCCCCAAACCACCCAACCCCCACCCCACTCATCTATACCAATATCAAAAAAACAAACAACTATACCCAACTCCAACATACCTATTAATCCTCCTCTTACCCCCCTCTCAATCACACCCTTCCCCATACCCCCTCATACTCCTTCCCCTCCCATCACCCCCCCTCCCAAACAAAACAAACTATAACCCCCCCACCCTCCTCCTATAACCTCAAACCCAAAAAAACAACCCCATCCACACCCACCACCCCTCCCCCCCCTTATCCAATCCCACACCCCCCCCCCCTTCACCCCTTCAACTTCCCCTCCATCTTCATTACTCCCTACAACTTTCATCCCATCCCCCAACCACATCATCTCCATTACAACAAAACCTACCCTTCCAACTACAATCACATCAACATACCCCTTACCTCCCCATCCCATCATCATACTCCCCCCCTAAATTACTATCCCCATCATTTAAAACACCCCAATCAACAATAACCACCCCCCATCATCATATCACTCCATCAACATATAACTCCCCAACCCATAAAAACCAACACAACCACAAAACCACCAACAACACACCACACCCCATACATCTACACCTCCCCATACCAAACAAACACCAACCCTCTAAAAATAACCCCCTTCCATCATCAACACACCCCAACAACTAAACACCCCTACATAAAACACACCAACAACTATAAACCCCAACCAATCCAATACACCATCAACAACAAAACCACCCCACAACCACACCCCACAACAAAAACACCACCCAACCCACCCCCCCCCCCCACAAAACCCCAAAAACAACCACAACCACCCAAATACCCACCCCCCCACCACCCCCAACACACCCCCCACCAAACCCCCCCCTCCACCCAACCCCCACACCCACCCCCCCAACAAACACCACAACCCCACAACCACCCAAACACAACCCTAAAAAAAAAACCACCCCAACACAAACACACACACCCAACATCCCACCCAAACCCATAAAAACAACCCACCAACACCCCCACCAACCCCCCCCCACACCACCCACCCCCACCAACCCCAACAACAAAACCCCCCCCACACCCACACCCCCACACACCCCACACACACCCAACCTCCCACCCCACAACAACACACACCACCCACCCCCACCAACATAACACAACCAACCATACAAACCACCACCCAACCCCACAAAAAACCCCCCCCCAAACATACAAACCCCAACCAAACCACCACAACCCCAACACCAACCCCCACACCCACAACAACACCAAACAACCCACACACCCCCCCCAACCACACCCCAACCCCCCCCCCCCCCCACACCCCCCCCCCACCCCAAAACACCCAACCCCCCCCCAACCCCCCACCCCCACAACCCCCCACCCCAACACACAACCCCCACCCCCCCACCCCCCCCACAAACCACCAACCACCCCCCAAAAACCCCACCCCCCCCCCCCCCCCCCCCCCCCCCCCCCCCCCCACAACACATACCCCCCCCCCCACCTCCCCCAAAAACACACACACCCACCCCCCCAACACAACCCCCCCCCCCCCACCCCCCCCCCCCCCCCCCCCCCCCCCCCACCAAACAAAAAACAACACCACACACCACCCAACACACCCACACCCCCAACCCCCACCCACCAACCCCAACCCAACCACCCCCACCCCCCCAACCCCCCCCCCACCCCCCCCCCCCCCCCCCCCACACCCCCCCCACCCAAAACCCCCCCACACCACAACCACCCCCACCAACCCCCCCCCCCCCCCCCCCCCCCCCCCCCCCACCCAAAAAACACCCCCCACCAACCCCCACACACACACCCCCCACCACCACCCACAAACCCACCACCCCCACCACCCCCCCACCACCACACCCCCCCACCCACCACAAACCCCCCACCACCCCCCCCACCACCCACCACCCAAACAACCCCCAACACAACCCACCACCCAACCCCAACAACAACCCCACCACAACACCACCCCCCAAACCCCAACCCCCCCCACCCCACCCCCCCCAAACCACACACCCCCCCCACCCAAACCAACACCCCACCCACCCCCCCCCACAAACCCCCCCCCCCCCCCCCCAAACCACCACCCAACCCACACCACAACACCCCCCAACCACCCACCCCCCCCACACAACAAAAACCAACACACCAAACACACACACAACCCCCCCCCCACCCCACCACAACCCACCACCCCAACCCCCCACCAACCCCCCCACCCAACACCACCCCAAAAACCACAACCCCCCCCCACCCCCCAACCCCCCCACACCCACCCCCCCCAACCCCCCCCAACACCCCCACCACAACACCACCCACCACCCCAACACCCCCACACCCACCCAACACCCCCACACACCACCCAAACACCCCACCCACCCCCACCCACACCACCCACCCAACAAACCAAAAACCCAACCACCCAACACCACCCCCCACCCACCCCACAACCACACCCACACACCCCCACCAAAACACACCCCCACCCCCCCCCCCCCCCACCACCACAACCACACACACCACCCCCCCACACCCACCCCCCCCCCCACACCACACCACCCCCCCCACCCCCCACAAACCCCACCACCCCCCCCCCCACAAAACCCCCCCCCCCCCCCCACACCAACCACCACACCACCACCAAACACCCCCAACACCCAACACCCCACACAAAAAACAACACCACCCAACCCCCACAAAACCCCCCAACCCCCAACACACAACCACCACCCACCCCACACCCCCCCCCCACCAACCCCCACCCACCCACCCAAACACCCCCCCACAAACACCAACACAAACACCACCCCCCCCCCCCCCCCCCAACCCCACCCCACCCACCCCAACACCCCCACCCCACCCACCCACCCCCCCCCCCCCCCAAACCACCCCCACCCAAACCCCCCCACACACCCCCCCAAACACCAAAACCACCACCCCCACCCCACCAAAACACACACCACCACAAACAAAAAACAAATACCACCCACACAACCACACCCCCACCCCCCCACCCACACACCCACACCACCCCCCACCCAAACCCCCCCCCACCCCCCCCAACCCCCCACCCCCCACCACAAAAAAAACCACAACACACCCCCACCCCAACCCCCACCACCCCCCCACCCAAACCCCCCCACACAACACCCAACACCCACCCCAACACCCCCCCCCCCCCCCAACCCCCAACCCCCAACCCCCCACCCCCACCCCCCCCAACCACAACCCACACCACCCCCCCAAAAACCCCCCCAACCCCCCACCCCCCCCCACCCCCCACCCCCCACCCCCCCCCCCCCCCCCCACCACACCCCCACCACCACCCCACCCCCCCCCCCCCCCCCCCCCCCACAACCCACCAACCACCCCAAAACCAACCCAAAA